CGCAGGCCTCACATGCTGAATGATGTGAGCACACAGGCAGTTTGCATGTGTCTCATTTGTTATTCCAACTGCCTGCCTCTTGTTGCTAAGTGACTATTTGTAGGCCTGCTTGTGCTGATCAGCTTGGGAGGCCTGTGTGCTTCAAGAACCAGCCAGAGATCCCCTAGGTTGCAAATGCCATAAACACACCGCTGATTTCTCCATATAATCTTATGGGACCACAGAAGTATATGTGGTCAGACGTTTATGTGTTGTATAACTGTACTTTGTCTTCCTGAGCCACCCTTTGAAATTGTCTGTTTAGTTCTTTTACTTCATCATTTCTTCCATTCTCTTTAGCTGCTCTGTGTTCAAGAGCAATTTTCAGAGTCTCTTCTGACATCTGTTTTGGTCTTTTCTGTCTTTTTTATGACCTTTTTCTTCGTGTATGATGTCCTTGATGTATTCCCACAACTCGTCCAGTCTTTGGTCAGTAGTTTTCAATGTGTCAAATCTATTCTTGAGATGGTCTCTAAATTCAGGTGGGATATACTCAAGGTCGTGCTTTGGCTCTTGTGGACTTATTTGCATTTTCTTCAGCTTCAACTTGAACTTGCATATGAGCAATTGATGGTCTGTTTCACAGTCAGGCCCAGGCCTTGTTCTGACTGATGTTATTGAGCTTCTCCATCATCTCTTTCCACAAATATAGTTGATTTGAATCCTGTGTCTTCCACCAGGCGAGGTCCATGTGTATAGTCACCATCTGTGTTGTTGAGAAAAGGATATTTGCAATGAAGAAGTTGTTGGTCTTGCAGAATTCTATCATGCAATCTCTGGCATCATTTCTGTCACAAGGCCATATTTTCCAACTACTTATCCTTCTTTGTTTCCAGCTTTCCCATTCCTTCACCAGTAATTATCAATGCATCTTGACTGCATGTTTGATCAATTTCAGGCTACAGAAGTTGATAAAAATCTTCAGTTTCTTCATCTTTGGCCTTAGTGGTTAGTGCATAAATTTGAATAATAGTCATATTAACTGTTCTTCCTTATAGATGTGTGGATATTACCCTATCACTGACAGTGTTATACTTCAGGATAGATCTTGAAATGTTCTTTTTGACAATGAATGCAGCACCATTCCTCTTCAGTTTGTCATTCCAGGCATAATAGACCATATGATTGTGATTCAGAATAGTCAGTACCAGTCCATTGTAGCTCACTACTATGCCTAGGATATCTATCTACAAGCATTCCATTTCATTTTTGACAACTTCCTATTTTCCTAGATTTATAGTTTGTACATTCCACGTTCCAATTATTAATGGATGTTTGCAGCTGTTTCTTCTAATTTTAAGTAGTGCCACATCATCAAATGAAGATTTTGAAAGCTTTACTTCATCCACATCGTTACAGTTGACTCTACTATGAGGAGGCAGCTTTTCCCCAGTCGCATTTTGAGTGCCTTTCACCCTGAAGAGCTGATCTTCTGGCAGCGTATCAGACAATGTTCCACTGTTACTCATAATTTTTTTTGAAAAATATTTTATTGTGTTTTAGGTGAAAGTTTACATGGCAAGTTAGCTTCCCATTTAACAATTTTCATACAACTTGTTCCATGACATTAGTTACTTTTTTCACAACATGTCAGCATTCTCATTATTTCCATTCTTTTTGTTCTGTTTCCGTTAATCTAGCTTCTCTGTCCGTCCTTAGCATCTTATCTTTGTTTTAGGGTAAATGTTGACCATTTAGTCTCGTATAGTTGATTATTTCAGGGAACACAGTATTCACTGGTGATATTGTTTATTAGGCGGTCTCTTGTTTGAATGAACGGTGACCACCAGGAGTAGTTTCAGTTCCACGTTCAAAGGGTATCTTAGAGCAGTAGTCTAGGGGATTCCTCCAGTCTCTGTTGGCCCAGTAACTCTGGCATATTTTAGGAATCTGAGTTTTGTTCTACATTTTTCTCCGGGACCTTCTATTGTGTTCCTTTGTCAGAACAGTTGGTAGTGGTAGCCGAACACCATCTAGTTCTTTTGTTCTCAGGCTGTATGAGGCTGTGGTTCAGATGGGCTGTTAATCCTGAGGAGTAGTTTCTTTTTTGAATTTTCTTTGAACCTTCATTCTCTTTTGTTCCAGGTGAGTAGAGACCAATAGTTGTATCTTAGATGGCCACTTACAAGCTTTTAAGGCCCCAGACGCTAGTCACCAAACTAGGATATAGAACATTATCTTTATGAACTATGTCATGCCAGTTGACCAAGTTGTCCCACAAATTAATAATCCAGTCCCACAAGGTGTTTGGTTATATCCAGAAAGTATCTGTAACTGTGTCCCCTATGTGGTTAATTATAAATATGAATATGTATGCAATGCACATAAACATGTATCTACATGTGCCTACAGATACACCTGTTCATATACACCCCTACACTCACATGTGCCTTCCTGTACACATATACGGATACATGTCTACCTATATAACCACACACATATTTTTTTGGTTGTTTTTATTGTTGCAAAATTGTATGTTATAGCATTTACCAAAATTGTCCCTTATGCTTGCATACTCTTAGTGTGTTCATTTACCTTGGACAGGTTGTGCGGACTTCACTAATATTCGGTATTGCCTTTCCCATCACCAAAGTACCAAACGTCTAGTCTCTAGAAAGTGATTCCCCCTCCCATCCTCATCAAAGAACATTGCTTTCTGTGTGTATACCTGTTCTTGACTTTTTATAAGAGTGAGACCCAGATTCATTCATGTTATAAGGTGTTTCACAGACTCCTCGTTATTCTTTATTCCGTTGTGTTTATACCACAATTTGTTTATCCATTTATCTGTTGATGGGCACTTTAGGATGTTTTTCCATCTTTTTTCTATTGTGAATAATGCTGCAATGAATGTAGGTGTGCATGTGCCTATTCTTGTCACTGCTTATTCATAAGGTTTCCACTGGCCAATTTTTTTAGAAGTAGATGACCAGGTCCTTCTTCCTAGTCTGTCTTAGTCTGGAAGCTCCCATGAAACCTGTCTACCATGGGTGACTCTACTGGTATTTGAAATAGTGGTGGCATAGCTTCTGGCTTCATAGCAACATGCAAGCCACAACAGTGTGACAAACTGACAGATGAGTGGTGGCAAAATTGCTACCATGTTAGAATAAGGCTAATTCTGTTTAAGGACAGTTTTTACACAAAACTGATTCTGTATCTGCAGTGCAGTGTATCTGTTCCTTTAACATTCTTATATATGTTTATAATTTAGATTACATGTTATAGAGCAAGAATGGTACAGGTGAAACAATAATTGGATTGGAAATAAAAAAATATGGTTTTTAGTGTTTTTTATCTTTTCGTCTGATTTTGCCAACTTGTTTTATCTCTTTAGGCCTTAGTCCTTCTACACACTGACAGATTTGAATTAAGTGATCTGTGTAATCCATTTAGCTAAGTAAATATAGCCAGGTATTAATGGTTAATATTGAGTTTTGGTAGGTAATTTTCAGTTTAATAGCTTCATGGAAAAGTAGCCTAAAACGCTGGGCAAATCTCTCTTTGTTTCCTTATTCTCAAAGATCTTGGTCCCATAATGCCTTACTGCTTTGCTAGCCTTCAGTCTTGTTAAAGGCCTTTAAAAAGGTATATCAATTTTCTTGATGAGGTGATATTATAAGCTGAGGGGTATAGAAGAAGATGGGATTATTGAAGATTTGAAAATGAGAAGAAGGTATGCAATAGCCATTTAGGAGAGTGGAGGAAATAAAATTATCAATAAAGTGATTACAGGGAAGTGTTGAGTGCCCATTTGAAATTTATGTCATGAATATGAATGAGACCAGTTAACGCTGTATTTTTAATATAGTTTATAATCATAAAATACAAACTATTTATTGCTATAGCTACCTTTCAGTGCTTACTTTGTACCAGATATTACGCTAAATGCTTTTTAAAATCATTTTAAGAACCCTAAGACTGTTAATCCTATTTTACTGATGAAGAAACAAAAGTACAGAGAGGTTGGGTAACTACTGAATGCCAAAAAACTAGATAATGTAGCATATTCCTGTATCTCACCTCGCAGAATTTACTTATTAATATTTGCTTCAGATATGTGTGTATGCGCACTGCGTGTGTGTGTGTATGCACTTTGTCCATATCAGTAATAGGATGAGAGAGAGTTAGTCACCCAGTTTACCCCTTTTGACCTTCCTCATACTTCTGGAATTGGACATATATGCACACCTAATCTATGAAGGTGCGCCATCACCTCCCAGGGATGAAATAGATTGCCTATGTTTTTTCAACAATGATGAGTTCCATAACGACCCAGGAATTAGCATTTTGTCATTATAAATGGCCTCTGGGGGCAAAGAAAGGGGTGAGTCAGAGACTTTGCCTAAATTTATGTCTATCCAGATGTCCTTAATCTGAGCAGTGTTAACCTTCTATTCATCTGCTGAGTCAAAGGTCTTTCCCTTCAGTGTTGGATGGATGCTAAATTCCAAAATGTTGAAGTTACTGAAAATTTGACCACTGATGACCTCTAAATGATACTCTTTCTGCTTTTGTGACAGTTTTTTTTAACATCATCTGTTCTGCTAAATTTCTTGCTGTGTTTACAACATTTTCTTTTTTTACCCGTCTTTGCTTATAGCTCTCTCCCTAAAGCCTTTTTGTAGATGTTATGAAAATTGAGAGTTAAAGTGAATTTATGTATATATATACATATAGAACCAAATTCTATTCACATATCCTGATTTACACATAATAATTGAAATTTTCAAAATTGAAAGTAGCATATTTATGTTCACTGCAAAAGCAAATAAGATAATTGCCTTTAGTATAAAATATGCAGTTTTACTAAAATTGTTTGCAATTGTCTCCCTAGAAAATGAGTCAAAGTCTTTTAGGAAGCAAGAGAAATGTCTAAGTTCAATATATTAGACTTAACTAAACTTGATTTTTTTTTTTTTTAGTATTAATGAAGGTTTTTTAAAAACTTGGTTTTTTAGGCCAGCTGTATCCTGATCCAGCTTTTCCTCCACAAAGGCAAGACAGATATTATTCTAATTCTGGTAGACTATCTGGACCAGCAGAGCTCAGAAGTTTTAATATGCCTTCTTTGGATAAAGCGGGTAAGAAAGACCTTTTTTTTTTTTTGTTTTCCTTTAAATAATGGTGGCATACTTAAAGAACTGGAAGTTGAATAAAGGACTGATATAATTGCTGTCTCTAGTAGCTCTTAAGGCCAAAATCTATTTCCTGAAAACTTCCTGGTTTTATGTTTTTCATTATTTTGTACAGACATAGAAGCTGAATATGCTTTGGTGGTTGGTTTGAGCATCATAATAAATGAAGTTGCTATATATACACCTAGATGGTAAATTTTACTCTGTTCCATAATTAATTTTCTATTTTTTTTAGTCTACTTACATATATCCTGTTTAGTAATCATGGTAATTAGGCAAGCAAATGTGAATGTTGTTAGATGCCGTCGAGTCAGTTCTGACTCATAGTGACCCTATGTACAAGAGAACAAAATACTGCCCAGTCCTGCACCATCCTCACAGTCCTTGTTATGCTTGAGCCCAAAATGTGAATGTATATATGAAAATTCATCAGAAAAATAATTTTGGTGCATGCTTTGTTGATGGTATAATTGGTTACCTTGTTTAAACATTTTATACTTAAGACAAATTTACAAATTTACAGCTTACATTGACTGAGCAACTTACCATTTGTCAGACACTCTTTTACTTAAACCACCTCACAGCAACCTGCTGAGACTGAGACATATGTATCCAGTGTATCAATCAGAAGTACATAACATAAAGAAAATAAAAAGATAAGAGATTTCTCAATATATATTTCTCAAAATATATGCATATTTAAGTAAAAATTAAATCTACTGATAAAAAGTTACCTCAGGAGAGGATATATATTTGGTGGGACAGTCTCTAATTGAAATATTTATTATTTTAGAAAAATCAATCTTTTTTTTATACAGAGCAAAGAAGCAGAGTCATAGTCTGGATTTCCATTATTAGGTAGTTATACTTTCCCCATTAATTCAAGTTTTATGGAATTTATATGTGTGATTGACCATTCCGTTTTAAATTAATGCTATTTAAAATTTTTTACATCTCCATTTTTTCCTCTAATGAGTAATACCCAACTTAGCAAGTATTTATTAAGTACCTAATGTTTAAAAAGTACCCTGCATGACATGACAGGTGTACCTATTATAGTAAAGTATAGTCTTTGCCTGTAATAAGCTAAGAATTAAATAAGGCAGAAAGACAAATATGTTTAATACTGGTCAGAATAAATCCCATTAGAAAGTATGCAGAGTGGATTCAGAGAAAGGGAGAACTCCTGTCTATTTGAATAATCAGGGAAAGCTCCATGAAGGTGGTGGCATTTGAGCTGTATTTAAGGGGATTTGAGCAATTAATTGAGAGGTGGGGGTCTATACCAGTAATAACAAAAACATAGACAAAAACAAAAGAACACGAGTCATTGATGGGTAATGGCTGTTAAACTGAGATGTTAGTCACTTGACAAGGTTGTTATGGGGGTTAAATGAGTTAGTGTGTGTGGGAAGTGTTTTGTAAACAGAAAAGTTCTATGTAAACGTAAGATGTTATTATTTGTCAATATGTGGTATTTACATGAGGGAGAATGGTGAGATGGATATATGGTTGAAACACATTGACTAGCACTAGTGCTGAGGAAACATTCATAGAATGAAAATGGATTGTTCCTACCAAACACAACTACAGGTACACAAGCAACAGAAGACACGTTAGATGACTGGGACTTCCTAAAAATTAAATACTTACAGTCATCAGAAAACTTTATCAAAACAGTAAAAAGAGAACCTACAGATTAGGAAAAAAATCTTTTGGAATGATATATCTGATTAAGAGTCTGTATCTCTAAAATATATAGAAAACATCAACAACTCAACAACAAAGAGACAAACAACCCAATTAAAAACTAGGCAAAGGACATACACACTTTACCAAAGAGGGCGTTCAAGCAGCCAACAAACACTTGAAAAGATGCTTGTGATCATTAGCCATCAGAGAGATGCAAATCATTGTTCTGAGACAAAAAGCAAGGAGCAGCAGCAAACTTAACAGAGGAGATTTTGAGTGTCATTTTGAACTTAAAAAATTAGTGACACCTGTAGTTAAGAGCGATGGCTGCTAACCAAAAGCTCTGCAGTTCAAATCCACCAGCCACTCCTTGGAAACTCTGTGGGGCAGTTCTGCTCTGTCCTATAGGGTCGCTATGAGTCAGAATCAACTCGATGGCAGTGGATTTGATTTGGGGTTGGTGGTAACACCTGCATGGATGTTCAAGTGGGCAGTTCAAGCTTTGATGTCCTGGGGAAGATACCTGGATCTGAGTTGTAAATCTGGAAATCATTAGTAGAATATATCTAATTAAAGATGTAGGAGTAGATGGGATTTCTCAAGGAGAGAATGAGAAGGGAATAGGGTCAAGGGTGGAACTCTTAGAACATCACCATTTAATGATGGTTAGGAAGAGTGAAACCCACCAAAGAGACTGAGAAAGAGCAGCTAGAAGAGTAAGAGGAGTAGAGAGAAAGAAGAAATTGAAGGGTAAGAGTATTTTAAGTGGTAGGAAGTAATGTAAAATAAGAACTGTTGTTAGTTGCTGCTGAGTTGATTCCAACTCGTGGTGACCTCGTGTCAGAGTAGAACTGTGGTCTGTAGGGTTTTTTTTTCCTTAGTTTTTTTTTGAAATGTTGTAAATATATAACACAACATTTGCCAATTTAAAGTTTTTCACGTGTACAATTTAGCAATTACATTAATCATATTGTGTAACCATCACCAGTATCTGTTGTCAAATTTTCCATCACCATAAACAGAAAGTCACTGCTTCATAAATATCAACTCTCCTTTTTCCCCTCTCTCCCGCCCTTGGTAACCAGTAATAAACTTTGGTCTCTACACATTTGCCTATTTTGGATATTTCATATGAGATCATACAGTATTTTCCTTTTGTGATTGACTTACTTCACTCAGCATAATGTTTTCAAGGATCATTCATGTTGTAGCATGTTTCTCTTTTTTATTTTACTTTAGAAGGTTTACAGAACAAACTAGCTTCCCATTAAGCAACTAGTACACATATTGTTTTGTGACATTGGTTACCAACCCTGCTCTCCTTTCTTGACCTTGGGTTCCCTATTACCAGCTTTCCTGTCCGCTCCTGCCTTCTAGTCCTTGCCCCTGGGCTGGTATACCCCTTTAGTCTCATTTTGCTTTATGGGCCTGTCCAGTCTTTGGCTGAAGGGTGGATCAAGAGTGACTTCATTACTGAGCTAAAAGGGTGTCTGGGGGCCATACTCTCAGGGTTTCTCCAGTCCCTGTCAGACCAGTAAGTCTGGTCTTTTTTTGTGAGTTAGAATTTTGTTCTACATTTTTCTCCAGCTCTGTCCGGGACCCTCTATTGTGATCCCTGCCAGAACAGTCAGTGGTGGCAGCTGTGCTGAACTTAGTCTGGTGAAGGCCGCGGTAGTTGTGATCCATTCATAGCATGTGTTAAGACTTCTTTTCTCTTTATGGCTAAGTAATATTTCATTGTATGGATATACCACATTTTGTTTATTCAGTCATCTGTTGATGGACATTTAGATTGTTACCACCTTTTGGCAATTGTGAATAGCACTACAGTGAACAGTGATATACATGTCTCTTTGTACTACTGCTTTCAAGTCTCTTGGGTATATACCTAGGATTGGAATTGCTGGATCATATGGTAATTCCATGTTTAACTTTTTAAGGGTTTCATCCGCCCTCCCCCCTTTTTTTAACACAAAAAATGTTTATTAGGGAGTGACCTTGGGAGGGAGAAGAAGGAAGCAGCGGTGAAATGAGCGAGAAGTCCAGCCAACAGAGAGGAAGATCCCTGAGGAGACTGAAGGAGAGAGATTCTGAGCGCAAGACCAGAGTCCTAGATTGGCTAGAAAGAATCTTTTCCATAAAGAGGAGGAAGAGGAAAGGTTAGAGGGATATAGTTGCAGATATGGTTGTATGTTTGGTCACAGAAAGTTAAGGGAGAGTCTCAGTAGCTGGTGTAATAAGTTTAAGGAGAATGGGCAGAGTTGAAATTGCTGAGAGGAAAGCTGGCTCAGACACAGAGGAAGGCCAGGCTGTGTGCAGCTGAAAGTGAGCCTGGAGAGCTGTGAGCCTGTAATGGTCCCAGCCTTCATGGCTCTGTGGTGATTTACCCCCAGCAGTGCTCAGCAGCTTGGGTACAAAGTGAAAGGAGAGAGTTGGATTAATCTAGGGTTGAGATGTTGTCAGATACGTGAAAAATGGCCAGTAGGGCAAGGATATTAATGATTGGCTGAAGTGATGAACTTTAAAGTCTAGAAAGTTAAGGAAATAAGTGAAGAAAAGAGAAAACTGAGAGTTAGGTCAGAGGACTGGAGGCCTCGGTGAGGTCAAAAGACAGGTGTAGTGGAGTAACCAAATGAGAATGCTAGGAGAGGGTAGGTGACGGGTCAGAGAGAGGGAGGTTTGAGTTTAAGTTCTCAGCGATCAAACAGTGCTTAATGATAACGTCCAGGAATACTTATTTAGAAATAGTAGCCAAATTCAAATTGCTAGTCTGTGTTATCTGATGGAGGAATAACGAAGGAAGGAAGGAAGTAGGGAGAAAAAAAAGGAAAGAGGGAGAGGGTTGCTACCTCCCGGTCATAGGTGTCTTTTTATGATGCTGCTGCAGCAGGGTTGCCTAGAAACTAAGTAGAGAAATCACACACCTTTGCAGAACTTCTAGTCTCCCAAAATTTCCAAGGACCAGACGCTGTTCTTGTGGCCCTAATACAGGATGCTATTGTCAAGCTAGTTTATGTGTAGACAAGGGAAGTGGGAAAATATCTGTCCTTTGTGACTTGGAGATATTCCAAGAATGGAGTGATAAATTATATTTTCATTTAACTCTATGTCTAGATGGGCCAATGTCTTCAGAAATGGAATCCAGTAAAAATGACCCCAAAGATGATCTTGGTGTAAGTATTGAAAGTGGAATTTTATCCATGTATTGAGGAGCCTTCTAATCTCTTGGCTTACTAGAATAGAATTTAGCTAACAGTCTAGTTTTTGATGTAAAACTGCTTCTTTCTTTTGACAAACATACATCCTACTTAGCATTGTAGCTGTTTCATTTCTGGATTGTAATCTGTGGGGATAAAGCGCAATTTGTAGGTTAGGGATTTGAGTTACTTAACTAGTTAAACAAGAATTTGGATTTTCTCCTTGGATTTTCATTGAAAAGTTTTAAAGTATATTTTTGTTTACTATTTTGCAATCATGGTTTTGGTTGCCTTGAAAATACAAACATAGGCATGGTATGTTTTCTATTTTCAGTTATGTTTGATAAAAGAATGTATATTTTGGTATTCTTAGACTATATGTGTGTTTTATCTTTAGCCAGAATACTACTTGGTTGGTGAAAACTGTTGAGTTAATAAAATGTTTTTGATGGCTAAAAACAACCTGATATGTTAAGGTGGAAAACTCTTTGAATCTTTCTCTGGAGTCTGTTAGACAATCCTACACTGTTTTCTGCCTAGGTGTCAAGGCAGAAACTTAAACTAAACTTAAACTTTTTAGGAAAACTTGCAGATTTTAGTGACTGCCATATGTCAATTTGTTGTAGAATTTAAATGTGCCTGATTCATCTCTCCCTGCTGGAAATGAAGCAACTGGCCCTGGCTTTGGTCCTCCACCTCTTCCTCCAGTCAAAGGTCCATTGTTTCCAGTGGACACAAGGGGGCCTTTCATGAGAAGAGGACCTCCTTTTCCTCCACCTCCTCCAGGAAGCATGTATGGAGCTTCCCGAGACTATTTTCCACCAAGGGATTTCCTTGGCCCACCACATCCACCATTAGCAAGTATGCTTTTTTTTTTTTTTTTAAACTTAATATGTGTTTAACAGAGTAAATCAGAGATACTAATTTTACTATCTATTCACCTGGTAGGACCCCTGGTGGTACAGTGGTTAAGAGCTTCACTGCTGACCAAAAAGTCAGCAGTGCGAATCCACAGCCGCTCCCTGGAAACCCTGTCGGGCAGTTCTACTCTGTCCTACAGGGTCACTATGAGTTGGAATCGACTCGACGGCAGCAGAGTTTTTTTCCTTTGTTTGTTTGTTTATTCACCTAGTAATACAGTAGAGGAAAAAGTTGAACATGTTCAGTGAGTGTACTGTTACTTTTCCAAACTGCAAAGGATGAGGCTTCAATTTGAGTCATCTTACTAGTATGCAATTATTTGTATATTTTAGTAGTCAAGAAAGGCATTGGATTTTTGAAGCAGTCTTATGTTAAGACTAAAATTATTTGTAATTATTTGATAGACACTGGTTACTGTGGCAATTGGCAAAAAAAATTACAGTTTATATTTTAGCATTAAGATTACTGGCCAAAGTATTTTTAAAAGTATTTTTGTATAAACAGTTACCATGTGTTTCTACTTATTTCAAACCTAAAATATGTTTGTCATGTTTGGCCTGTTTGTTGAATTTACTGAAATTCTTTCATAGCCTCACATAAGAAAAAAGGAATAATTTCTTTCTTTTATACCCATACATTGCCATTTAGGACTATAGGTTTCTGAAGAATAAATATACAGTTACCAAATACTAGGGAAAAGCCTATTATTTGTTTGATGTAGTCATTCCTTCCCCATATTCCTCCTCTATTTCTAAAATTTAAGGTGAATTAAAATGAATTTTGTTTGGAGAATTTCAGGACAGTCTTTGATGTAACTGGAAATGTTTTAGGATAGTATAAAATTATAAATTGGGAATCACTGATTTGAATTTTAAATCTGGTGAAAATTATATTAAATGAAAAAGTTTGTAAAGTAAGTTTTGTCTATTTTGAAATAATTCCCCTCCTGTTTTAAAATGTTAAGATGTTAGATTTCCATAGGACAAAAATTGTGTCTAAAAATGATACTCTCTTGTATAGTTGGAGAGAGTATGTTTTACTCCGTGTTGTAAAAAATAATTTTTTAGTTCAAGTAATTATTATGGTGTCAGTTTTTGAATATAAAGATAGATATTAGAAATTATAAACTAATGATTTATTAGTACAGGTGCTTAAAGTTAAAAAATGTCTTTTACCAATCTCTTTGAACAGTGAGAAATGTGTATTCACCAAGGGGTTTTCCTCATTATCTTCCCCCAAGACCTGGATTTTATCCCCAACCCCAACATCCTGAAGGTAGAAGTGAATTCCCACCAGGGTTGATTCCACCTTCAAATGAGCCTGCTACTGAACATCCAGAACCACAACAAGAAACTTGACAATACTTTTGGTCTCTCTTCAAAAGCAGTTTTGACTTAATCTCTCATTTTCAGTTTAAGTAACTGCTGTTACTTAAGTGAATATACTTTTGCTCAAATTGAAGCTTAACGGAACTATAATTCTCAGGATAGTATTTTGTAAATAAAGATGATTTAAATATGAATCTTACGAGTAAATTATTTCCATTTTATTATATTCTAGATGGTATAATTATTTTAATTTGATTAACAAATCCACTGCCACATAAACAATCTTGCAGTTGGGGATGTTTTAAATTCCAAAGGCTGTGTCCTTATGCCAAGAACTGTATTTACTATAGTTGTAGACAAATGTGAAAATAACTTTATGCTTAATTAAATAAATTTTAATTGGTTTAAAGACTTGTTTAGCATTTATAATAATAAAATCATCTAGTTTTTCCATAAATGTGGCTTCATTAATTGGTCTTTTTTCCTTCTATCAATATTTTTTCCTTCTATCAATAGCTTGAGGCTGAAAACTAATGCTTTCTATGGGTCTTTCTGATTCCATTATCTTACCAAAACCATGCCTTCTTTCTTGTAAATAGATATAAATGACCCAAAGCAACAAATTAATACACTTTTAAAAATAAAAATGAATTTTAAGATAACACTTCTAAAAATAAAAATGAATTATATTTTAAAGAAAAATAGGATATTTTGTAGGAGCAAATTTCAGAATTCAGATCGCCTTAGTTCAGTCACTGGTTTTCTCTATAGTTTTATTTCTTGTTTTTCTCTTCATTTGTAAGATGACTATTTTCTGTAGAGAATGTTGGCATTTGCTGCAGAATAACTGTATTGAGACAGTGTGTCATCAGTTGGAGCTTTGGACTCAATATCCTTAGAGTGATTTTTTCTCAATCAGGTCTGTATTCTATTATTAGTCTTGAACATCAATATGATTATGAAAGGAAGAGGAAATTAAGTATAGCTAATAAATATCACAATACTTCTGATGACAAATTTATTTTTAGTTTGTTACTGGATTTTTTTTTTTTTTCGCTGCCAAAAGGCAGAAGATGAAACATTCTTGAACAAAGCAGTGTTGCATTTGTAATTGGAACATTTCATGCCAGCATTTTTCTGGATGTCTTTGGAACACTGATCTTGTGAGATATTTCCAGCCCCTCCCCACTTTCACCCCCACTGCAGAAGAAAATAAATAAACAGAAGGGATCTATGTGAAATGTTTGGAAACACAGTAAATAGAATGAGGACTGTGACAACATTGTTACATTTGATATTTAAATACCAGATTTCAGGGAACATAAAGACAACTTTTTAAAGTTGGAAAGTGAAAGGAAGAAGAGAAATAGGAAAGAAGTTATGCAGAACATTCTGGTCAAGTGAGATTTTTGTTTGTTTGTTTGCCCTTGGATAGGGCAGACCTGTCATAACTAAGATAGAAGGGAAAGACAGAAGGCAAAATCAAACAGCGCAAGTCGTAATAAACTGAGGAAGCAAAATCATAGAGGAGGCTAGGAGAGCATAGGATGTGGGCATAGTGGAAGACAGGAAAGATTGATACAGGCTGAGTAGCTTAAAATACACGAGTTCTAGAATGATGGACATTTTTAGCCTTAAAATATATTTTTATTAAAATAATACAACCAAATGGGCATAAGTCAAATAAGAGAGTAACTTAGAATGAATAGTGTTTTCCTCTGTTTCTCCTATCCCCAGCTACATTTCCCAAATAGTTTCTTTTTTAACTGTTTTTCATTATTGTGCTGTATCTAGAATTTTAGAAGATAGCTTAAATTTAAATTCTTGATTTATCAGTTTATTAAATTTATCAATTTATTCTTTGAGATGAAAAATTAGGATTTAGCACACTTACACTATTCCCACCCCCATTTTCTTTTCCTCTCCGAGTTTGATATTTATCCAAATTTAAGTTTTCTATTGTAGCGTTTGTAATTTTAATATACTCAAACCTCTATTAGCACCCTTTCCCTTTGTTTCACCTTCCCCTCCTCCTCAACTGTGGCTAGTATCCTACGTTCTGTTAGCTATACATTTATATTTTCAATGTTGCTAATAATTATATTATGTCTATAAGCATAACCTATCTTCTATGTTTGGTCTTTGGTTGATCTAAAATTTGAAAATCAGTAAGTAGCATTTATAACATTGTCATAATTTTATTGTTCACTATCATGTACTAAGTTTACATTTCCTTCTTTGTGAATCCCAGTATCATAATTTCTGGGTTACTCAGAAGTAAGCGTTCTTAAACATCAAGGTCAAATGAATAGTCTTTGTTTACTCTTCCCTCTTTTCCCCCATTTACCAATAGTTGCTCAAAATTATGACACGTTAGTTTATATTATGTTGTTGTTGTTAGTTGCTGTTGAGCCGATTCCAACTCATAGTGACCCCATGTAGGTTAAGCGCTCAACTACTAGCCAAAAGGTTGGCAGTTCAAATTCACCCAGAGGTGCCTCAGAAGATAGGCCTCATGATCTGCTTCCCAAAGGTCTCAGCTTTGAAAACCATATGGAGCAGTTCTACTCTGCACACGTGGTTTTTATGAGTTTGCTTTATACAAATATACAATCCTCCCTCCCACTTCTCTAATTTGCTTTATTTTCCCTGTATTATTTGCGTTTATCATATCCTGATTTTAAAAACAACTTATCTTTCATATCTTTTCTGTTGGGTTCATTTTTTTTTTTTATTAGAGACTTTTCTCGTGGAGGCCTCTGTCCTCCTGTTGTAAACGAGACTGGTTGCTCTTTAAGCCTGTAAATGGAGCTTGCCTTTTTGCTGATTTCTTGGGATGATTCCACTGTTTCATGGATCTTGTCTTGCATCTTTTTTTAATTTAATTGTTTTGTTGGAATTCACTCTCAAGTCTAAGAAAGGATGTATGGAATGTAAAATTTGTGAATCTGCGTATCTAAAAATGTCAACCCTTTCCTCTTTTTTTGTTGTTTATCTAGGTATAGAATTCTAGGTCAGGATTTTGAATATACTATCTTTTAATATCCTTTGTTGCTGATGAGAAGTCTGAAGGGAATTTGATTCTGTTTCCTTTGTTGGTATTCTGATTTTTTTTCTATAGAAACATTTAAGATTTTTTTCCTTTGGCATTCTGAAACTCACAATATGATGTGTCTGTGTGTGAGACTTTTTTATTCGTTGTTCATTCAAGTCACCTGAGAAGCAGATTCCAAGACAGAATTAGACATTCAAGAGATTTATTGAGGGAGAACAGTTGTGAAGGATTAAGGGGGAAACGGTGCAGAATTGGGTGGAGAAGAGCCTTCAGACTGTGAAAAGAGAGGGAAGGAGGGTTGGGTAGGAAGAGTCTCAGAGTACAGTACAGTTCTGAGAAAGTCTTGGCCAGGCCAATGATAAGCTCCAGGGCAAAGAATGCCTGTTAGAGGAGTGCCTCATTGGGTAGGAATGGCTGTCTCCTAGTACCCCTGTCATGTTCTGTGGTTGGCTGGAGCAGCCCCCTGGGAGAGTGTGGCCTTGGTGTGAACACTGAAGGTGTAGCAGCTAGAGGCCATCAGCTAACTCCACTCTCCACAGGAGGGTCTCTCGATGGGAGATATGAATGGCACACTCCTCTGGTTGCCAGATTGTTACTGCAATAACGGATTGGAGCCGCCTGCCGCAGTAGCCAATTCTGAGACAGGTGAGGTGAGCAGCAAGAGTTTTATTATATATATAGGAGACAGAGGGGAATAGATTCCTCCAAAAACCCGTCTCCCCCACTGGAGATAAGCCGAAGGCTTTTATAGGGACAGGATTGTGGGTCTTTGAAGTTTGTGTTAGTTCCCCCTTGAGGTGGTCATGTCCCAGATGAGTTAATCTTTTCTTGGGGGTTATCTGGCGACATCTTGGTTTTCATGTCCCAAGATGGGTGCTTGTTCGTTTTGTCATTCCTAGATCGTTATCACTTGTTTTCAACCCTCCAAGGAGGAACATCAGTTAAACTTTTCATAGAGACTGGAACGGGAGAGAAAAACAAAATCATGAGACAATGCAGGGGTTAGCAATGGGGAGTAATAATAGCCAGACCTATGGAGCCTCTTCCATTCCCCCCTTTTATTGGAAGTTTCTCAGTCGTGGGAAACAGGGCGTTGCTTCTTTTCTGACTACTTCTTGGGTTGGGGGCATCAGCTGGGGTGAGAAATGTCCTGATATCGACTAGGGGCCATAGGTGGGGGGGTGAGTTAGAGTGGAAATTGGCTGCATCTTGGTGAATTAGATGACATTCGTCCTCAGCTTGAAAAAGGGGCTTCCCCACTTACCAGGGTAAATATTTTTCTAGGCTTACAAGTATTTGTAGTTCCTTTTGTTAATATTCTCATAAAACAAGGAACACAAAAACTAGAATAATCACTATTCTTAAGGTTCCTCTTTCGGGCTCTTTTATGGCTCACTTAACTAGACCTACTGGAGTTAGGGTTGAGACTACACACGGGAGGGTCAGAGTGTCACCAGCTTGTAGGTCAGTGTCCCCTTTGCCTGTAGGATCACCGGCACCTTTTCTGTCTAGGTCTCCTGGAAAAATAGATAGAGGGAAACAAGGTCAAAATCATTGTACTGTAAGCTTCTTGAACTTGTACTTCAGGCCCTGAGTTGGAGTACAAGAGTATGGTGGCTCTTTGTTTTCTGCTTTCTCTTCCTCTGGCGGGGCTGCTTTTACTCGTGAGTGATGCACCCACGTGGCTACTCCTGCTAATTTCAGAGATGAGTGGGTGGTCAGGAGAACTTCAAAAGGTCCCTCCCACTGAGGGGACAGTTGACCTTCCAGGGGTTGATTCTTCCAGATTTTCAACAGGACCCAATCTCCTACCTCTGGGTTGGACCC